GCCCGAATTCTCCGACTTGGTGCAGGCAGTCGTCTGAATTTTCAGATAGCGCGTATATTTCCGTTTGAGAGCGTGTTCCTACGGGGCTCTGATTAGACTCACAATTTGAGCTGGAATGCGAAGTGGGTGCAAAAATATTTTCTTAGAAAAGGAGTCTCATTGGTCGCGAAGTCTGGGCACAAGCCCAGAAAGCCATTCTCCTCTGTAGCCAATCAAAATCGCTCAAAATTGGCAAGAATGTTGATGGCAAAGACAATCACAACACACAGTTGAGAAATATCTTGTCAATCAACGATCACGATCTCGACAGTTCACCCACTCTATCTCAGAGTAACCGAATGACTAGAATGAAGGCATACAAGGGAATATACTCACGGTGTTGAAGGCACGTGGCAAGAAAGTACAGGGTAGCGCCGAGGGGGGGAGGCTGTATAATGAGCTGGGCCTCAGTGCTAGTAGCGAGGTGGCTAGTCTCAAGTGCACGCAGGTGAGTGGAAAGATCAAAGACAGTGGAGAAGGGCGCAAGATCAGGAAAGAGCAAGGAGAGCATGAGACGGCCAGCAGAGGCGGAGGAGGAAGTGGAATAGCGCGCAATGACAACATCTAAGTAGTCTTGCGCAGTCTCTATCGTCTGAAAGCAGGGACGCTCGGATAGGGGGAGGATGCGACTGCTAGCAATCTGAGCAAATGCGTCATGTGACGCCCAAACGGAGCGGGCGAGCTCAGCGGCTGCAAAGGCCTCATGCTCAGCGGGCGTGGGGGTGTTAGGGCGGGCAGCAGGCGGGTCGGGGCAGGGGAGCTTACCGTCGACGTGGACGGCCAGGGACTGGCCGTCCTGGCGCTGACCCTTCAGTTGGCGGCGGAGGTCGACGAGCTACGCCTCGAAGTCGATTGCACGACCCTCCGCGTCCAGACGAGAGCACAGCGTTTGCCATCACCACGGCCGCAGCGGCTGACGGCAACACGGAGACCCGGCGGCACGACGACACGGCGGCACGGTGACACAGCATCACAGCGATACGGCGGCACGGCGACACGGCGACCAAGCGGCACGGCGGCACGGCGACATGGCAGCACGGTGACACGGCGGCAAAGCGGCACGACGGCACGGCGGCACGGTGGCACGGTGGCATGGCAGCACGGTGGCACAGCGGCACGGCGAGCGGGGGCGGCAGGAACAGGGGTCGGCTCGTATGGGGGCCGGCGCAAACGGGCTGGGGGGGGGGGGGGCCTCGAACGGGTGCCGATTCTAACGGGGGCCGGCTCGAACTGGGGGCCGGCGCGAACTGGGGCCGGCGAGCTGGGGCCAGCGCACTAGGGCTGGCGAGCTAGGGCCAGCGAGCACACGAGGGGCAGCGCGCGAGCTAGGGGCCGGCGAGCTAGGGGCCAGCGGGGCCGGCGAGCGAGGGGCCAGCGAGCGTGGGGTTGGCAAGCGCGGGGCCAGCGAGCGTGGGGCCGGCGATCGCGGGGCCGGCGAGCGAGGGGCCGACGAGCGCGGGGCCGGCGAGGGAGGGGCCGACGAGCGCGGGGCCGGCGAGCGCGGGGCTGGCGAGCGCGGGGCCGGCGAGCGAGGGGCCAGAGAGCGCAGGGCCGGCGAGCGCAGGGCCAGCGAGCGCGGAGCCGACGAGCAAGGGGCCGACGAGCGCGGGGCCAGCGAGCGAGGGGCCGACGAGCACGGGGCCGGCGAGCTAGGGCGGGCTAGGGCAGGCTAGGTCGGCTAGGGCGGGCTAGGTCGGCTAGGGCGGGCTAGGTCAGCTAGGCCGGAAGCACGGGTGGGCGAAACTAACCTAGCTGATACCATCTCAGAGTAACTGAATGACTAGAATGAAGGCATACAAGGGAATATATGGTTGGGTGTTGTACTCTCTAAGAGCACAAACCCTTCTAGCCTATAACTGCTATATATACAAATATGTGGAAGTTGACACTCTCCTCCCATTCTGGTGGGCGGTACCTACATTGCGCCCACCTCGTAACATGGCCACACCCTTCTGGCCACTCGGCCACATGTGTCATCGGACCTCAGACCTGCCACCCGCGGAATATTTTTGCTGCATGGCGCGTCATCACCCCAGTCCTGTAGTTTGTTGTGAAGTTTTTTTTTTTCTGTCTGGAAGCTCAAATGATGCCAGACAATTCGTCTGAAAATCCAGACCAGCCCAGGTCGCTCGTCTGATGGTTAGACGAAAATTTGAAACCCCGTCTGATACTCAGACAGCCCTAAAACTAAGCAGGAACCCTGTCTCAAAACTAGAATTGAATGATCATAGGGTTAGAGAGTACATGCACATATACCTAAATGTTGTACCCTCTAGGAGGTTACCCTATACAGTCTATACAAACATGATCAATAAACATGTTTGACACACCCCCTGGACTGCATAGGGGAATGTCCTAAACAAGCAGCTCAGGGCGGCACTACTAGTCCAGCCTCTGAGACAAGGGTCTAAAAGACCAGTCAGAAGGAGTACAGACAAGACAAGAACAAGTACAGGGCGGCACTACTAGTCCAACCACTGTGAGAGGACACAAGTCTAGTCTGAGTGTACACATATATATAGGACAGTACAAAGTCAAGGCCCGAGTAAGTGAGGGACTACAGGAACCAGACCAAGCTGTACACAGTGCCGCTGATGATCTTTAGGCGCAAGCGCCTTCGTAAAGATATCAGCTATGTTGGCACCGGAGGCCAAGTGTACTACGCGAGCCTGGCGCCGCTGCTGTAGCTCGCGCAGGAGGAAGTACCGCAGCTGGATGTGCTTCGCTCTACCCTCAAGTCGAGGCTCCTGACACAGGAGGATCATGGCCCTGTTGTCAGCGTACAAGACCGGGGCAGAGCTAGGCCGCTCACCTAAGTCAGTGAGCAAGAAGGTCAGCCAGCGGAGCTCCTGTGCCGCCATGGCACCGGCGTAGATCTCAGCCTCACAGCTGGACTGGGCAACAGACGAGGAGCGGGTAGCTCTCCACGAGACAGCACCTGAGCCAAGGCTAAAGCAGTAGCCCTGGGAAGACCTGAGCGTCTCGGCGTCGTCTGCCCAAGAAGCGTCTGTGTGTCCAGTAAGGACCACTGGCCTGCGTCCGCCTAGCACTAACCCCATGCCCGATGTACTTGCAAGATAACGCAAAACCCTCTTAGCGGCAGACCAGTGCTGAGGTCGGTGTCTGCCTGTGGCCACGAAACGAGCCAGGATGCTGAGAGGGTATGCGAGATCTGGGCGAGTGCAAGTCATCAGGTACATGAGGCAACCCACTAGCTCAGCGTAAGGACCACTGGGATCTACCGACTCCTCAGGAACTGGAGCGGAGAGTCTGTGGTCCAGAGGAAGAGGGGTGGGATGTGCGGAGGAGAACTGAAGGCCGAACCTCTGAAGGACCTGGCGCACCAAGTGTGACTGAGTCAGGGTGATGGTGCGCGCGGCTCTGTCCCTGGAGATCTGCAAGCCAAGGTAACGGCGCAGCTCTCCAAGGTCAGTGCAGGTGTGTCTCTTCAGCAGCTCTGCCTTCACGGAGGCCAGTGCGTCCCTGTCAGCTGTGGCAAAGACCAGGTCGTCTACGTAGACAAGGATGTAGAACGGGGTCGGGCCAGCACGAACGAAGAGCGAGGGGTCTGCAGAGGACGGAAAGAACTGCAGGTCAGCAAGGGTAGCACGCAGCGTGTCGTGCCACTCACGAGGCGCCTGGCGCAGGCCGTAGACTGGACGCCGCAGGAGCCACTGGGTCCCAGGGGGGAAAGTGCCAGTAAAGCCCTGAGGACGACGCAGGTAGACCTGCTCATGAAGGCTGCCCTGAAGGAAGGCAGTGGAGAAGTCGAGGGAGTGAAGCTCGTAGTCACGCTGAGCCGCTACGTGTAACAGAACCCGAAGAGTAGTCATCTTCGGCGTAGGAGCGAAAGTCTGAAAGAAGTCCACCCCCTCGCGCTGACTGAAGCCTCTAGCCACGTAGCGCGCCTTGAACACAGGCGGCTCTCCAGGAGGGCGCTTCACCTTGAAGAGCCAACGGTCATCGACCACGTTCACCCCAGGTGGGGGAACTGCGTCGACGAAGGTGCCGGTGGATCTCCAAGATGCCATCTCTTGTTCCATGGCAGCTATCCACTGAGAGGCCCAGGGTCCCGAAACCGCCTCAGCGTAAGTACGAGGGGTCGGGATGTCGAAAGCGTCTGGGTCACCCTCAGGGACTAGCAGCATGGAACAGAGATGGGGAGCAGCCTCGGACAGGAAAGCAAGCTCAAACTGGCGGTCCTCCAGGACGTCACTGCCGAGGGCAGGAGCACCCCCGACAGACGGAGGACAGGCAGGGTCGGAGACCAGAGCGGTAGCGTAGTCAAGGCGGCAGGTAGAGGCGAAGTCAGCGACCGCAGCGACAAGGGCGTCAAGACTCGACACTGGAACAGACGGGTCTGTAACCAGAGAGGCAAGGACCCGAGGAACAAGAGGACGAGCGGCACGAAAGTAGTCAGACAGAGGAGGAGACGCAACAACAAGAGAGGACGGAGGAGGAGACGGGAGGAGGGGAGGACGAGACACGTGGGACCGGAGCAACATAGGGTGAGAGCGCGGGACGGGGGAGACAGGACGAGCACGGGAGGGGCGGCGAGACCAGACGTGAGAGGGAGGCGTCGGGTCAGGAGACAGAGGAGGGGACACTGGTGGGGAACGAGGGGGAAAACGAGCCGGGGACGAGTCCGGCGGAGGGAACACGGGGCCGTAGACGGGAAGAGGAGGAGACGGTGTTAGAGATAGGCTGCAATTCGGTTGGCACAATTTTGTGTGTTGACACTTTCTTGGTTTTAGGGATACTCATATTTGTTAGGTTGGGTGTAGCTATGTTTTCATCCCCAACCTATCCCAACCCAATCCATCCCAAATCCCCACGATTTGGGAGGATTCCCTTGGGATTCCCTCCGATTCTCCCTTATCCCTTCCCATCCTCTCCGATGCTCGGTACTTAAGGATGTATGCTCTTGCTCATTTCAATCAATCAAGTTCTCAGTTTTTGATATGGTATCAGAGCTCGTTTCCGCCTAAGCGGCTCTTGATCCTCTCGCTCCGTTGGAGCCTAGCATTTGCGTCTTACGACGCAAAGCTTTTCTAGTCGCCTCAACTCAGCGCGGCGCTTCTTTTCGGGCTGAAGCCCGTCGCCCCGCATCTGCTCGTCACACCTGATCGGGCTGAGCCCGTCGCCCCGCATCTGCTCGTCGTACCTGATCGGGCTGAGCCCGTCGCCCCGCATCTGCTCGTCGCACCTGATCGGGCTGAGCCCGTCGCCCTGCATCTGCTCGTCCCACCTGATCGGGCTGAGCCCGTCGCCCCGCATCTGCTCGTCGAAGCTGGACGGGCTGTCGCCCGTCGCCCTTGCAACAGCGGGGGGGTGCAGCGGCGAAGCGGAAAGGGGGCAGCGGCGAAGCGGAAAAGGGGGGGTCGCGGAGCAGCGGGATTGCAGCAGCACATCGCGGGTTTCCATAGATTTTTGGCGTTCAGATTTCCCTCTTTATCGGCTATTCCTCTTCTCCGAGTGTTGAAAATCCGCAAAGGGAAACCCTGTTTTTCGCGAAGTGCCTATCGGCGACTTAAGAGCTGCGCTACGCGCGGAGAAAGGGTCCTTGGAGCATCATGGCGTATCCTTCCGCGTCTCTCTCAAACCCGATCACTCCCTTGCGCCTCGACCCAAATGGCTCGAGCCCGAACTTCAAGGAGTGGAGCTATGGGGTTGATAAGCATCTCCTAAGCCGCAAAATTGAGGGGATTTGCCTCAAGGATGTCCTCCTCAATCGCGGCAAAGGAAAGATGCCGATCCTTCCCAAGAAGCTCTCGGCCACAGCCACAGGGGAAGAGTTAAAAACCCATGAGGAATCCATGTCCAAGTATGAGGAATCTTACAGCGTGTGGGAGCAAGCCGACGCCGCTATCATTGGCGTCTTCGTCGGCACTACCCCTTCCGAGCTCGTCAAAACTTACCATAACTACCCCTCCGCGCACGCCATCTGGGAGTACCTCAACGACCGCTTCCTCAACAAAACCGCTGTGGGGGTGGCGATCCTCATCCCCCGCATGTTTCAAGTGCGTCTGGAGGAGTGCCCTGGAATGGCAGATTACGTCGCTGAAATTCAAGGGATTCATCAGGAGCTGAAGCAACTCGGCATTGTCTTCCCAGAGCAAGCCCCTGCAGCAGCTCTGCTTGTTGGGCTGACCCCCTCTTACAATGTCACCCGCTCCATGCTTCTCCATCTCCCGCCAGAAGAGCTAACCTTTGCCAAAGTCTCTTCCGCACTTCTCTCTGCTGAAAAAGACAACACTGCGCAGGCTCGTGCAAATGCGCTTCGCGCTCCTGTCCCGGCTCCAGCATCGCGTCCCAATCCGCCACCCACTCGTAACCGCTACCCACCCTGTCCTTACGTCATCAAAATGGGACCCCGTGCGGGTCAGGTGTGCGGCGGCACCAATCACCCGCTCGCCACCTGTTTCAAAAAGAAGGACGACGACTGGTTCGCCAAGAATGGTATCAACTCCAAGCCGCCCAACTGGCTTCGCATGCGCCAGCTCAACCAGGTTGAGGCACAGGATAGTCAGGACTCAGCCGTTCATGCCCCTAGTCCTGATGTTCGTCTCAACCTGTTGTTCCCTGGCCTTCCCATGATCAATGAAACCAGTTCCCAGTACTCGACGTCTCCACAAACACCATCTAAACCGCTTGAATTCGTCCTGGACAGTGGCGCAACCCACACAGTCCTCCGAGACAAAGAGTCTTTCAAACCATACCAAGCACCCATTCCTCTTCTGGGCGCTGACTCCAGCTTCACAACTGTCGCCCATGGTTCCTCCACTCTTCCATGCCCAGCCTTCCCATCTGGCACAGTCACTGGCATATGCGTGCCCACTCTTCGGCACAATTTACTTGCACAACATGAGATTCAACGAGCAGGGGTAACCACTATCTTCCCAGCTCATTCCAATCACTGTGATCTCCTTCAGCCCACCACCAATGCCCTACTTGCACGCTTCACACTGACCGCCAACAACCTCTACACACTCCAAGTACCTCCATCTTCCACAGAAGCACACTCTACCTCCACCACATCATCGTGCTCCTGCCGTCAGCTCACCGATCCAACCATTCTTTACCACCATCGTCTTGGGCATCCCAACTTCCGCATGCTCTCCGAGCTTGCGTCTAAGAAGTTGCTTCTTCACCTGCCCGACACACTTCCTCCACCCTCCACTTCTCCCGCTCCTCCATGCTTGGACTGCGCGCAAAGCAAACTACGCCAGTTGCCTCACCCTTCCTCGCCCTCTGCTGCAGCCGCCCCGCTTGACCTCGTCCACATGGACGTCTGGGGCCCAGCTCCAGTCCGCTCTCGTGGCGGGCACTCTTACTTCCTAGTGCTCGTTGACGATCACTCTCGCTATGCCTCCGTCCACCTCCTCTCCTCCAAAGCAGCTGTTCCAGATGTCGTCATCGCATGGCTTCGACAAGCCCAAAATCATTTCCGCACTTCAGTCAAGTGCCTCCATTCCGATGGCGGTGGCGAATTTCGAAACCATTCCCTTCAAGCGTTCTGTGCCTCCCAAGGCATTCGCCAGACCTTCACCCTTCCCCACAGTCCGCAGCAGAATGGCATTGCCGAAAGTCGCAATCGCACTCTCGTGCAAATCGCTCGCTGTCTTCTCACTCACGCTGGTGCACCACCTTCCCTTTGGGGTTACGCCCTCCTTCATGCCACGCTGCTGTACAACCTTCACCCTCACCCTCTTCGGCCTGCCATCACTCCCGCTGAACTGTGGACCGGCACCAAGCCCAGTGCACGTCCTCTCCGCGTATGGGGGTGTACAGCTTATGTCCTCCTCAACCCTCAGTAACGTCGCACCCACGGCGGCAAATTTGCACCCAAAGCTCAACCCTGTGTCTACCTCGGCCACAACCTGGACTCTCCCGATTACCTTTTCCTCAATCTCTCCACCAATCAGCTCATTCGTAGCCGCGATGTCGCCTTTGACGAGAGTCGCCCTTTTTACCTCTCTTCACCACCCCCCACCGCTCCACCTTCGCTTGTGTGGGCTGATTTCGATACTTCACCCACCCCACCTCCTCCCTCTGCCGCTCCTGCGGCCCCCTCACTCTCACCTTCCCCATCTCCTTCCACTCTCTCTCACCCCTCTTCGCCCACTGGCTCAGTTGCCCGTTCACCTCCGCCCGCGCCTGCACTTCCCCCTGCACCCGCTCCTGCAGCTGCCCCTCCACCTCCCTCTCCTTCTGTGGCTCCCCCTGCCCCCGCGCCTCCCTCCCCGCCTTCACCTCCGCTTCCGCCTCCAACCTCCACCTCTCCTCCCGACTCGCCCATCACCTATCGTCGCCGTCGCCACGGACGCTCTTATGTCGATGTCCCACCTGCTCCCCCGCCACCTCCCTCCTCTCCTGTCCCTATTGCTCACCGCACCCGCTCTCATGGTCCCGCTCCGCCTCTCGCCCTCTCTGTTCGCATCTCCCTCAATCCGCCTCCTCCTGCCGGGGGTGCATCCATGCCTGGCCTCTTGGAGGATAGGCATGAGGAGCTGATTGAGATCAATGCTGCCATCCGTCAGCTCTGCCATCTCTTCCCCGACCTTGCCGACGCTCCAACTCTTAACTTCTCGGAAAATCCATCCATCCCGACCCCGAACTCATATGATGAAGCCATCTCTGGACCACACTCCCCCCAGTGGCTCGCAGCCATGATCGCGGAGTGTGAAGCATTCATTCGCAACAACTCTTTCACGGACGTCTCCCCTCCGCGAGGAGTTAACATTGTCCGTGGCAAATGGGTTTTTCGCGTCAAGCAACTGCCTGGCGAACTCCCAGTCTTCAAGGCGCGATACTGTGCAAAAGGCTTCACGCAGAAGAAGGGCCTGGACTTCTTCGACACATTCTCTCCGACAGCCAAACTGCCCACACTTCGGACCCTGCTGGACATCGCTGCTCGATGCAACTTTGACGTTCACTCCATGGACGTCTCTGCTGCATTTCTCCAAGGGGATCTCCCCGAGGACATCTACATGGAACGTCCTCAAGGATTTCCCTTACCCTTTCCACCCGGCACGGTCTGGAAGCTGAATCGACCAGTCTACGGGTTGAAGCAGGCTCCTCGGGAATGGCACAAGAAGCTGAAGGCAACCCTCGAGTCACTCGACTTCCACCCCTCCTCAGCCGATCCGAGTCTCTTCATTCGCAAGAACGACAACCCGTTCTTCATCCTTGTCTACGTTGACGACATGATTCTCGTCTCCAAGGACTCCGATCAGCTGGCAGCTGTTAAGCAAGCTCTTGGGGACGCTCTCGCCATGAAGGACCTCGGTGAACTCAAGAACTACCTTGGGATGGAAATCTCGCGGGATCGCGAAGCTCGAACCATCACTCTCTCTCAAGAGTTCTATGTGAACAACGTCCTCAAGCGTTTTGCCATGGACAACGCCAAGCCAGTGGCCACTCCCCTTCCCTTGCAGCATGATCTGACCACTCCATCAGTTCCATCGCCTGAGCCTTGTGATGAGGCATACCCCGAGCTCGTCGGATCACTCATGTATGCGATGATGTGCACAAGGCCCGACCTCGCCTACCCCATCAGTGTGCTCTCGCGTTACGTTGCTGCCGGTCGATACACCAATCGCCACTGGTCGGCTGCTAAGCGCGTCCTTCGCTACCTCCAAGCCACCAAGGACTACGTCCTCACTCTCGGTGGCACGACCCCTCCTCACCTCGAGGGATACAGCGACTCCTCATGGGCTGATGATCAAGCTGACCGCCGCTCTTCCCAAGGCTATTGCTTCACCCTTGGCAGTGGTGTCATCAGCTGGCGATCTACACGCTCATCATCCGTCTCATTGTCATCTAGCGAAGCTGAGTTATACGCAGGCACCATGGCAGCCCAAGAAGCTCGATGGCTTACCTACCTCATGGCTGAGCTCGGGTATCCTCAGCAGACCCCGACTCTGTGGTGTGATAACGAGAGCACTATCCACCTCACCAAAGATCCTGTCTTCCACCAACGAACCAAGCACATCGAATTGAGACACTTCTTCATGCGCGAGCTCGTCCAGCGAGGGCAGTTGTGCGTCAAGCATATTTCCTCTGACTGCAACCTCGCCGACTTGTTTACGAAGGCTCTTGGACGCCGTGATCACTATCGTCTCCTCCGTACCATGGGACTTGGCGTCCCTACGGCTTCCGACGTTGCAGCCTAGGGGGTGTGTTAGAGATAGGCTGCAATTCGGTTGGCACAATTTTGTGTGTTGACACTTTCTTGGTTTTAGGGATACTCATATTTGTTAGGTTGGGTGTAGCTATGTTTTCATCCCCAACCTATCCCAACCCAATCCATCCCAAATCCCCACGATTTGGGAGGATTCCCTTGGGATTCCCTCCGATTCTCCCTTATCCCTTCCCATCCTCTCCGATGCTCGGTACTTAAGGATGTATGCTCTTGCTCATTTCAATCAATCAAGTTCTCAGTTTTTGATAGACGGCAGGTGAGGAACAGGCGCAGGGTCAGGGGACGGAAGGCCGAGCAGACGGAGGGCGGACACCGGCGGGGACTGCTGCTGCGGCGACACAACACCAACGCCAGGGCCACAAGCTGCGCGACTGCTACCTCCCGAACCCTCCACACCGGCACCCCCAGAAGGGACACCCCCAGAGCACGAAACCCCGCCGGCACCGGTACCACCCCCAGGCCCGCCGGGACAAGCCACGACAGGAGCCCCGGGACTAGTACCCACCTCAATGCCAGCACCCCCAGAGTCCACAAACAGCGGCAGCGACGACTGCGGCGGCGGCGGCGGCGGCTGCAGCGACGGCCGCGACGGCGGTGGCGGCGGAGACGACGGCCGCAACGGCGGCGGCGGTGGAGACGACGGCTGCAGCAGCTGCGGCGACGGCGGCTGCGGAGGCGGTGGAGGAGGAGACACCGGGGGAGGGACAGACGGCGAGGACTGCGCCGGAGGACTACCAGAGTCAGAAGACTCGTCGACCGGGACGACCAACGGGAGGGGGGTGACGTGAGACACACCAGAGGGGGCCGGACGGGGGGGCGGGGGGGGGGGAGGGGCAGGGACCACCGGGGAAGGAGGGACCAGGAACAGGGGGGGAGTAACCGGGGGACCACGGTGGGGGAAGCGGCGGTAGAAGGAGACGGACTCGTCAAAGGTGACGTCGCGAGAGTGAAAGAAGCGGTGAGACGGCGGGTGGTAGAAGTGCCAGTCGGACGCGTCAAGGGGGAAACCGAGGAAGACGCAGGGGAGGGTGCGGGCAGTGAGCTTGTCCGTGCCAGAGGCACGAACGTGAGCAAGGCAGCCCCAGACGTGGAACGCAGACGCGTCACCAGGGGACCCGGTCCACAGAAGGGTCGGCGAAACCGGCGGCCGCTGGGGGTGCGGCCACAGGTTAAGCTGGTGAGCGGCGTAGCGCACGGCGAACGGCCACAGAAAATGGGGTGCACCGGCGTGGATCATGGAGGTGCGAGCCACCTCCATGACCAAACCGATGCGTCGCTCAGCGACCCCATTCTGCTGCGGGGAGTCCGGCAGGGTAAACGTCTGGGTGATGCCCTCCGCACGACAGAAGCGACCAAGGACACCTGAGGCAAACTCGCCACCCCGGTCGGAGTGGAGGCGCAAGGCAGGGAGACCGCGGTGGACATGAGCAGAGACAAGCCAGGGGATGAGAACGTCAGGCACGTCGGCCTTCCGCTCCAGGGGAAAGACGGTGGTGTAGCGCGTGAAGTCGTCGACAAGCACTAGGAAGAAGCGCTCGCGACGCGGCCCATGGACCGGGGCTGGGCCCCAGACGTCCATGTGCAGAGTCTGCAGTGGTGCGGTGGTAGGGGGAAACGAGGAGGAGTGAGGGGCACAGCGGAGCCGGCCCTCGACACAAGGCGTGCACGGGGGGGCGGGGGAGGAGGGAAACTCGGGGAACGAACCGGGGAGACCAAGGACGAGACCGTGCTGGGACATGTGACGCAGACGCGGGAGTGCAGGGTGACCAAGGCGGTGGTGCCAAAGGAGAGTCGGGTGAGTGAGGGACCGACAGGAGCAGGCAGCAGCAACCTGGGTGGACGCAGCGACCGGGGGGGAAGACCCAGCCGGGGAAGTCGCGGTGTCAAGTGTGAACAGGCCGGACACCGGGTCCCGGGGGAAAGTGGTAAGGGGGGCACCAGTGGCGGCCTCGGTACAGACAGCATACCGCTCGTGACCAGGGAACGTAGTGGTGACGCCAAGGTCCTGGAGGCAGCCGACACCAACTAGGTTCCTGGAGAACGAGGGGATATGCAGACCTGTGAGCGAACCTGAAGGAACCGCCGGACAGGGAAGGGAGGTGGAACTGCGGGCAACGACGGGACCACCGGAGGGGTCAGCAAGAGTAACTGCAGCGGGAACAGGCAGCGGCGTCAGCGTCGTGGAGTCGCGGAAGAAACACCGGGAGGCGCCAGAGTCCAAGGTGAAGGAAAGCGCAGCAGTCGCGCGAGGCGACAGTGAAGCGGTGGAAGCACCGAGGCTAAGCAAAGCAGGAGATCCTACGCCTGACGCAGCAGGGGAGGCTACGACAGGCACATCTACACTAGGCAACACAGGGTAATAAGAGGGAAGCACACTAGAGTCATCAGCATACATCACATGCAAGGCTGCTACAATGGCATCCATGTCCAAGTCAAAAATCTGAATGCTACGCCTAAGCAAGCTGTGCCAGTCCGGGAGGTCGGGCGCCGGGCCAAAGCGCTGACGGAACAGGTCGTCCAGACGACGAAAACAGCGAGGAGTGGAATGACCGATCTTACCGCAAACGAAACCGCGGCGAGGACCGGTCTGGATCTGGTACTGACAGCGCCCGCCTCCAGAACCACCACCCGGCGCACCACCACGTGCACGACCACCACCAGCTCCAGGCCACCCAGGCGGGAGAGCACTCGCCTGCCTCGTCTGCGGCGGCTGCTGCGGCTGCTGCGGAGGCTGCGGCTGCGGCGACTGCTGCTGCTGCGACTGTGGAGGCAGCGGGGCAGCTGGACTGGGCAGGGTCCCCACGTCCGCACCGGCACCGGACGACCCGACTCCACCACCACCCCCTCCCGCACCCCCGCCGCCTCCGCCGCTCCCAACCTTGGGGCGGCGGCCCTTCCCCGAGCGGGACTGCACTGCAGCAACAGTCTCAGCCACAGCGACAGAGCCGTCGGAGAAGGTACACTGAGCGGGGGCACAACCCTGAAAGATAGGGACCGGTACTGTACCGCTCGCCTGGGCGATGGAGCGATGACGAGTCTCTATAACAGTCAGGGTGTCAACAAAGTCGGTGAGGGTGAGAGCAGCGGGGTGGATGCTAAGGAACTGGTCGCGGGCGGCGGCAAGGCGGTCAGGGAGGCGGGTGGCAAGGAGGTAGAGGGTAGAGGTCATGGGAGGCTGGTGGACTCTAAGCTGTGCATCAGTGCAGGCAGCGCGCCAGGTCTCATCGATCGAGCGCAGGTGGGCAGCGAGGTCAGAGACAGTGGGGAAAGACGCAAGGTCAGGAAAGAGCAGGGGGAGGATCAGGCGACCCACTGAGGCAGCAGGAGGGGTAGAATAGCGCTTGATGACAGCATCGAGGTAGGCCTGGGCGGTAGTAATGGTTCTAAAGCGAGGGCGCTCAGGGGGGGGGAGGGCATTGCTAATGGCGAGCTGAGCAAGGGCATCGCGGGACAACCAGACAGAGCGGGCAAGGGCAGCGGCGGCAGTGGACACGCGCTCAGCGGGCGTGGGATCAGCGGGCAGCACAGCAGGGGGGTCAGGGCAGGGGAGCATACCGTCTAGGTGGGCAGAAAGCGGGTGGCCGTCCTGCCGCTGACCAGTGAGGTGGCGGCGAAGGTCAGCCAACCACGCCTCGAACTCCAGAGGCTGACCCTCAGCATCAAAACGAAGCTCAGCAGCCATCAGGGGCAGTGTAGGACGGTGGAGTGCGGTGTAGTGCTGTGCAGTGCGGTGCAGGGCGGTGCAGTGCGGTGCAGTGCGATGCAGTGCGGTGCAGTGCGGTCCAGTGCGGCGCAGTGCGGTGCAGTGCGGTCCAGTGCGGTGCAGTGCGATGCAGTGCGGTGCAGTGCGGTCCAGTGAGGTGCAATGCGGTGCAAGGCGGGGCAGGGAAGTGCAGGAGGGTGCAAAGCGGTGCGGGGAACGGGGGACAGTACCAGGAAGTATGTAGGGCCGGGGCAGGCGCGACGGGACCGGGCAGGCGCGACGGGGCCGGGCAGGCGCGACGGGGCCGGGCAGGCGCGACGAGGGGCCAGGCAGACGCGACGGGGCTTGGCGGCTGCGACGGGGCCGGGCGGCTGCGACGGGGCCGGGCGGCTGCGACGGGGCCGGGCGGCAGCGACGAGGCCGGGCGGCTGCGACGGGGCCGGGCGGGCGTGACGGGGCCGGGCGGGTGCGACAGGGGCCAGGCGGCTGCGACAGGGGCCGGGCGGGCGCCACGGGGCCGAGCGGCTGCGACGGGGCCGAGCTGGGGCGACGGGGCCGAGCAGGTGTGACGGGGCCCAGGAGGGGCGCGACGGGGCCCAGGAGGGGTGCTACGGGGCCCAGGGAGGAGCGCGGCAGGGCCCAGGAGGGGCGCTAAGGGGGGGGGGCCCAGGAGGGGCGCGACGGGGGGCCCAGGAGGGGCGCGACGGGGGGCCCAGGAGGGGCGCGACGGGGGGCCCAGGGAGGGGCGCGACGGGGGGGCCCAGGGAGGGGCGCGACGGGGGCCTGGGAGGGGCGCGACCGAACCCAGGAGGGGCGCGACAAAGCCCAGAAGGGGCGCTACGAAGACCTGGAAGGGGCGCGACGGGGCCTGGAGGGGCGCTACGAAGCCCTGGAAGGGGCGCGACGGGGCCTGGAGGGGCGCTACGAAGCCCTGGAAGGGGCGCGACGGGGCCTGGGAGGAGCGCGACGGGGCCTGGAAGGAGCGCGACGGGGCCTGGAAGGAGCGCGACGGGGCATGGGAGGAGCGCGACGGGGCCTGAGAGGAGCACGACAGGGCCCAGGAGGGGCGCTAAGGGGCCCAGGAGACGCGACGGGAGGAGCGGAAGCGGTAGGTGGGGGGGGGGGGGGTGGGGGTCGAAACCTACGCGTGATACCATCTCAAAACTAGAATTGAATGATCATAGAGTTAGAGAGTACATGCACATATACCTAAATGTTGTACCCTCTAGAAGGTTACCCTATACAGTCTATACAAACATGATCAATAAACATGTTTGACACCCTGCACTTACGCCCACCCGACGCCAAGCAAGCGGAAGCAAAGATCATCATATATCAGATGACATCAGAGGCTAGATCAGCCATGCAGATTACATATGCATAATAAATAATTAGTTGGGCTTACATCCATTTCTGCTGTGCCCACCTCGAAACAGATGCATCACCTTGTTCAGCTCAGAGCACACGCTCAAATTTCAAGATTTTTTTCCTGATTTTGCTGATTTTCAGGGTGTTTTGCTGTACCGACCCTGAAAAATCAGCATTGGAATCTGGAAAAATGGGGCTACCTAGTTATAAAAACAGTACCAACTCTGATTTTCAGGGTGATTTCAGGGTGCCTTTGTGTACCGACCCTGAAAATTCAGTGTGGCCTAAAACGAATCTGAGGGCCTGGCTCAGAGCAATTTTTTCTTCAGGCATCATCAATTCTTAAGCCACATCTGTTAGCTCGAGCTCCCCCGAACTACTGAGTATGGCATAACTGCTATAATTTCTAGTTATTCGTCTTCCAAATGAAGGCATTACATTAGACCTCTCAGAGGTTGCAGATGTTAGTCACCTCATCGATGCATCATTCAGCCATCCATGACCTGCAGTTGTAGCAATAGACAAAGGGGTTTTTACGCAGGTGATTAATCCAGAAACCAAAGCAGATGAAAGTTGTATGGGAGGCACACCGCATCATGTTGCATGCAATCAACAGCAAGTCGTGACGTAGGAAGTGAAGCAGCAAGTCATGATAAATGCAATTGGTAACAGCACAAAACATACTAGAAGCAACACAAACGTAGGGGGTGCAAGACACATCATGCAGATGACTCTTGCAAGCAACAGGACATCATAGCAAATGCAAGCAACAGGATATCATAGCAAATGAACGCAACAGGATATCATAGCAAATGTAAGCAACAGGACATAACGAAAGCAACAGGACATAATGCAAGCAAAAGGACATCATAGCAAACGCAAGCAACCGGACATAATGCAAGCAACAGGACATCATAGCAAATGCAAGCAACCGGACATAATGCAAGCAACAGGACATCATAGCAAATGCAAGCAACGGGACATCAAAGCAAATGCAAGCAACAGGACATGATGCAAGCAACAGGACATCATAGCAAATGCAAGCAACAGGACATCTTTCCAAATGCAAGCAACAGGACATAATGCAAGCAACAGGACATCAACGCAAATGCAAGCAACAGGATATCATAGCAATTGCAAGCAACAGGACATAACGCAAGCAAAAAGGACATTGCCATGCATGGTCAGCACTGTAGAAATCAACGTTTCCCAGAAGAGAGCCTTTTCTCTCAGCACTCACCCAGCGCCTCAGAAGCACTCACAACAATCAGCATCAACATCTCTTTGCACGCTCATATCTCAGCACTCACCCAGCGCCTCAGAAGCTGAGAGCCTTTTCCTGTGGTCCCTCTCCAGCATGCCTCTCAGCAGATCCTTCGCCTCCTCATATGCATCCGCCCACACCCTGCTCTACTCAGATGCTAGACAAGCCGTACTCACCCAGTGCCTCAGAAGCTGAGAGCCTCTTCTTGGGGTCCTTCTCCAGCATGCCTCTCAGCAGATTCTTTGCCTCCTCCGACACATCCGCCCACACCCTGCCTTTCAAAGGAAGCTTGTACTGTGCTGTAGCCTCCTGCATCGTCTCCCCTCTCCCTCTGCTGCCATCACCATCCAAGATTTGATCCTGTCCGTTGAACGCATCCGGCAGTGCCGCCCAGGATGGGAGGGTGCCAGCCAGCATGGCATGGAGTACCACACCGGCGCTCCAAATGTCCGCTTTGGCGTTGTAGGCTGCTTTCCTGGCCACCTCTGGTGCCATGTACTCTGATGTCCCCGCTTGGTCCCTGCACGCACCATCTGAATCAGAAAATCAGGGGATCGAGGGGTGGGGGAGGGGGGGGAGTGGGGGGAGAGAAGGGCGGGGTGGGGGGAGAGGAAGTGATCAGGAAGGCGAACATACAAGTGATAGATTGTGCAGCTGATCATGGGAGAGAAATATACAGCTATTGAAGTTTACCCCTTACCCTCGTCAAGAAAACCAGCCACCCCGAAGTCGCTGAGTTTGATCTTGACATCTCCATTCCCTGACTGGGAAGACACCCGGTCGCAAAGCAGGATGTTTTCGGGCTTCACGTCGCGGTGAAGCACTCCGAGGGAGTGGCAGTGGTGGAGGACACCCAGCAGTTGCCTCATCACGGATGCCGCCTGCGGTTCAGTGAGACGATTCTTGGGGGCGCTCTGTATGAAGTCGAAAAGGTCACCACCATTGCATAGTTCCATGACAACATGAACGGCCTGGATGGGTGGGAGAGAATTACAGATAAGCATGGGAAAGGAAGATGAGAGGGATTTGATGTGGGGAGTTTGAAAAAGGAAGATGGGAACAACATAGCAGATGGGGTAGTCGTGCAGAGCATATAGCATGAAAATGGAATATCGAATAGGAACAATGAGGGAACAAGCTGGCACATGCACCTTGTGGTCCTCAAACACTTCATGGAGTTGCACCACCCCACGATGGCTTTTTAAAAGGTCTAGTAGTAGAACCTCTGAGCGCAAGTCTGATACCTGCTTACTTCTCTGCATGGGAAAATTGAAAAAAAAAATGTGAGAAAACAAAGCACATGATCAAGTGGGGGGTTCAGGAAAACGATTAATTATTAATACAAACATCGACATGATCTTGAATTGCTTGAATTAGTGAAGTGCTCACCTTTATATTCGATTTGTGGATTGTCTTGCAAGCGAACACTTTTCCAGTGGTCCACTCCAGACATTTCCTTATTTCGCCGCTTCCTCCCTCACCAATCTTCTCCCTGCTGATGTGGAACTTATCTGTCATCCGACTGTATCTCACACCCAGAATACGTTCTCGCAGCTGCATCTGACGTGGCGCGCACGGAACAGTATTGAACCGCTGACCAAAGCTGCTCCCAGAAATGGTGTGGTTGATCGGCTGACGTGGCGAGGGAGCTGGAACTGTGGGGATGTCATTGGTAACCTCAATGGTGGGTGTTCTCCCAGAATAGGTTTTCTTGCAAAAAGTCGTGTGCGTATGCCCGCCGACGCTGCTTCGCCTGGAAGATGGCGAGGGGGCTCCACTGCTGCGAAATCCTTCGCGAAAGTCCGTTACGTGGCCGTCCTCGACAGAAGATGAGATACGGCTTCGCCACCCTTCGTCGCCTGCGAGTTTCATCTCTTCTGCCGATCTCGTGGAACCAACTGGCGAGGTTACTAAGTCACATCCGATGAAGTCACCACTTAGGGACTTCGCGTTCCTGTGACCCAACCGCACCGCTGCTCCCGCTGCTTCCCCAGAAGGACATAGGTTGTGCTGCTTCGACTGGCTCCTATTATTCTTGGGGTAAGGCGAGGTGGTGTTGCTGTTACAAAAAACAATACGCGGCGAGGTGCAGTTGCTGGTGCTGTCAGCATTGGTTCTGTCGTGAGGGTAGTAGTAGTGCCCACTGCTGGGCGACGCGGTGACGCCGGTTGGAGAATGCGAAGTTCGCGAACTTCGCACTGATTCGTCAAAGTCTTGACTCCGGGCAAAGACGCGCTGCGCGTACCTCCGAGACACAGTTTTCGGCAGAGGAGCTTTAGGGCTTGACGCCAATGTAGTTGCACTGCTAGCACTAGAAACAGTTGCAGTAGCGCCAGTAATAGTGCTACTAGTACTACACGTGGCGCAGGGTTCCGAGCTACGCAGAGTATCCTCCCCGGAGAGATCGATGTTCGACGATGAACGGAAGCCTCTTGCGGATAACCGATTCTGACGCGGCCGTGCAGACATGGCGTGAGGCCGATCCGCCATGCTCGACGGCAGACTTCGAGGGCTCACTGCGCCGGCTGACGCGGCGGATTTCCCGGCGGCGTTTGCGGATGCGCTGCCCATTCCAGGCTCGAGATGGAAAGGGCCAATGGGGGCGACTACTCTTCCAGCAACAGGGTTACTTGGGGGCGAGATGATGCCGCGTATCCGCGGGGAGTGCGCGGAGCAGTGCGCGGCGGAGCTGTGGGCGCACGACTCCAGGGTAATCGTCATCATGCTGTCAAGCCGAGCCGGTACAGACGGCGGCCTGACGAGCTGACGCGGAGGCTGCGACTGTGACTGCCACTGCCAGGGGTCTGCTTTCCAAATCCGCGGCGACTTGGGCGGAAGAGAGCTGGCCGCTCCAGACTCAGAATCGCCACCAATGGGCGAGAATACCCTGGTGCTTGTGCTAGGAGTCATTTTTTCGCCGTACTGACGGCTATCGCTGCCGTCCACGGCGTAGTCAGCCATCATGCTGTCAAGCCGCGCTGGAACTGACGGCGGTCTGACGAGCTGACGCGGCCGCGACTGCCAGTGGTTTGGTTTCCAAAGCCGCGGCGACTTCAGTGGCAGAGTGCGGCTGCTCGCACCGCTAGTAGCAGCAGAAGCAGAAGCAACAGCAGCAGTCAACGGCGGAGAAAGCTCCAGTTGCTGGACGATGCTGTTGCTGCGGGGGGAGAGCTCGAGAACGGCATGGCCGCCGCGCGCCTCGATCTCCTCCTGGAGGCGGTCGAGTTGGAGCAGCAGCCGCGGATGCTTCGAGTTGAGCAGCCGGCTCGGCTCAGCCTGGGTTCCACCGCGCTGACCGCCGAGCGCCGCCGCCGCCGCCGCCGCCTGCATTGCAACCTGCGGCGTTCCGGCGGAAACCGCGGCGGATTCAGCGGCGGAATTGGCGCGGGAGGAGGCTGTAGAATTGAAGTATGCTTTGCCCGTCGTTGAGCTGAAGGTGTGATCGTCCGCCATCGGGGCAACGGTGGAAAGCATTCGCTCAGTAGTTGTCGGCGTATCTGGCGTTTCCGGGCCGGCCAGGAAATAGACTCTAGTTTACGCGAAGTTGGGGCTATGGAACGATCCTGAGATCCAAAAAGTTGGAGCTGAGCCGTGAGATTCAATGCTCCCTGAGGATGATGAACTGAACACCATTCGTCAGGGGGATGAGCTAATGTACTCCTGCTGAGGAAGACATTTCCGCCGTGCTGCGAATGCAACCTGGTCGAGGAGACTCTTGATCGGATCTGTGCGATTCCATCCTCCCAGCCATGTAAGCGTAGCGCGAGCACTGCTGTACAGCAGTATTTTTGGCGAGCTTCGGCGGCATTCCGAATGTCGCCAATATTTGCTCGTGTGCTGACGTGGGTCCTCAGGTCGGAAATGGACAGAGGATATGTACAACACTCCAAAAGTTTCAAGAGGAGGATATGAACAAGAGGTTTCAACGGAGACGTCCATTGAATTTAGTAACTCGCGAGTGGAGGAGAGTGGAAGTCCAGAAAAAACAGAAAGCAAGTGCAGATGACGGAACCAGGCGGGATGGTAGTGTGTGCAGAGCGAGAGAGAGAGAGAGGCAGTGCTACGCAATGCCTTGATAGGAAGGCAATGTACTGCTGGAGGGAGGTACACAGTTTCTTCTTTTTGATTACACGGGTTTTGCAAGCGGCTTAAGCCTGTCAACAGGAAACCGTAAAACACGAGCAAGCAAGAACTTGAAGTGGAAAACCCACAGTACACACTGACACTTGGTTACAAACTCTCGCTCATGCACTAGATGAGTTACCTGCGCGACGTCCCAGACCCGAAACTCGCAATTATCGAGATTCAGCTTGATTGTTCGTTTTCGTTCATACTGCAGCCAATCAGGTTCAGTGTTATCGCGAGTCATGCTTAGAGCCTGGTAGGTGGAATTGAAATTCGGACTGTTCAGGGTAGCACAATAGATGAAAACAGGTGTAAAGCAATGGGTGTCAAGGGCAAAACCCGCATTTCCCGCATTACGGACAAGGCAAGAGCCGCCTAAAATTTCCAGGTTTGGATTGGTTGGAGCTGCACTGGAGCACGAGTTTATGGAATCACAGAAAGGCACTGGTTGCTTCTGCGATGGCGCGATGGTTTGGACCGCTACAGTCCGCGCCAGGCCTCACAATTTGATTCCTTTTCTATCCGGATTCTTCCAGATTTGAATATTGAAGCCTCAAAATATGGCTAAATGTCGCGGTTTGTGCATTTCTGAGGTCCCTTGGACACAGGACTTGGTGCAACCGTATAAACCGGGTCCGAACTGCACAGGTTACTGAAATCGTCATGTCGTGAAGATGTCGTGGATAAAAAATGGCAACATTCGCGAAACGGGTCCGGAATCTCGTCCCGACTTCAGTTTCGCAAGGTTCGGCTGCACCAGGCCCTCAGAACGGCTTTTGAAATGAGCAATTCGGGGCCCGTTTAGGCAACCCGAATTTGATTCCGGAACGGGAGTCGCCGTAAAACATCCGCATTTTCACCGAATTTCCTAATGATTACTCGTCTACACCTCTTCCTGCATTGAATGGCGAGTGTTTCAGGAGCTTGACGAGTTTCACGAAAGTACAATAGAACTTCTCAACGTCCTCGATTTAAGTGGCTCTGCTTAGGAGAATCTCCGAAGATCGTGGTGAGAGAATGTATATTGAGGAAATCGCGCGCTTCGACAAAAATCAAGAATGATTCAAAACGATTGAAACTTTTTGCGCGTGATGTATGGCATGCACAGTTATCCAATTGTGTGTTGGTTAGAACCTTGTGAGACGCTTTTTTAATCCGCACAGTTCGTACATGGTCGATCCTTGGAGACAAGAATACAAACTGACATTTTGCTTGATTTTCGCATAACAGAAACCACTCGTTACGATGCGACGAAACTAGCTGCGGACCTACATTTTGAAAGCCAAGGCATACATTTCCTCGTCGCATGTCACTTCCAGGCCCTGCAAAGCAAAACATTACACAAAAGATAGTGCAAAATATCAGAGCAAGAGAGAGAGAGAGAGAGAGAGAGAGAGAGAGAGAGAGAGAGAGAGAGAGAGAGAGAGAGAGAGAGAGAGAGAGAGAGAGATAGAGAGAGAGAGAGAGAGAGAGAGAGAGAGAGAGAGAGAGAGAGAGAGAGAGAGAGAGAGAGAGAGAGCAAAAATCGATGGCACATGATCATACGAGAGGCGCTATGTGGAGAGGGGGAGATAGGCGGAGACACGTAGAGGCGCTTACGGCAGGAGCGACGGACGAGAGAGTATGGCGCGGCGGGAAGGGAGTGGCATGGCGAGAGGTGGGTGACAGGCGAGCGCATGTTGCGCTACAGGAAGGGAGTGGCATGGTGAGAGCTGCGTGATGGGCGAGCGAGTGTGGCGCAGCGGGAATGGAGTGGCATGGCGAGAGGTAACTGACGAATGAGCGAGTGTGGCGCGACCGGAAGGGAGTGACATGGCGAGAGGTAGGTGACGGGCGATCGAATATGGCGCGGCGGGAAGGGAGTGGCATGGCGAGAGGTGAATGACGGGCGAGCGAACGTGGCGCTCCCCTTTCTCTCCCGCGGGTCCCTCCTCTTCTCTCTCTCTCTCTCCCGCTACGCCACTCTCTCCCTCTTCGCACCTCCGCCTCTCTCTATCTAGCTGCGCCACTCTCCTTCTAGCCGCGCCACTCTCCTTCTAGCCGCGCCACTCCCTCTCACGCCGCGTCTCTCCCTCTCTCATCGCGCGTCTCTCCCTTTCTCGTTGCGCGTCTCTCCCTCTCTCGCCGTGTCTATCCCTCTCTCACCGCGTCTAGCCCTCTCTTGCCGCGTCTATCCCTCTCTCGCCGCATCTCTCCCTCTCTCGCGCGTCTCTCCCTCTCTCGTTGCATCTCTCCCTCTCTCGCCGTATTTCACCCTTTCTCGCTGCGTCTCACCTTCTCTCGCCGCGTCTCTCCCTCTCTCTCTCTCCCGCAGTGCTATAATCTCTCTCACAACTCTACGGTAGGGGAGGGGTCGACCGTTTTGGGTAACGGGAGCATGCCATACATCGCGTGCAATTTCCTTGATCTTTTGATTATAAGAATCCAGCGATCGACCAATCTGAGATGCCTTATTTACTACAATCAGATCACAGCTGGTGTGGTGCCTAATTTTCTACTTGTATAGTAATGCTACGTTTCATTTGAACATGTTCTTGAAAAGGCTTTAGTCTGACATGAGACCCGCATTGACTCGGCACAGGTTCTGTGACCCGGACTTGCAAAGAGCCCTTAGCTACAATTCAGAACATTTTTCTGGATGAGAGTCGCTTTTGCCCTGGGTTTGGACCTTTCGCGTAACTGGGGCGCGCCGCGTGGTAGATTCTGGTTTTTCAAACCCCCAAAGAGGTGTATCGTGAGCCCTGCTCCACGCATCTCAGTTCTCTCAGATCTGACAGCCGGATTGAGAAACTGCACTAGACAATATGGAAGACATAATGAGCTAAGGACGAAACGGGATTCTGTACAGAATGGGATGGCAAGGGCGGCAAGGAAAGGAGCCATGGGGATGGAAATGCGAGCAATGTGGGGGAGGGTGGGCCGGGAGGAACTGTACAGTAAACTAGAGTTTTGAAAGAGGCCCAAGTTTTTTTTTGACCGGTTACTCCAGTAACAGACGCCTTCAAATCGCTGGCAAATTGGGCCTGAAGGTAGGACCATGGTTACCCGTTTGGCAGGACCCTTGGAACATGGAAGACATTCGTTGTTTCTCCCATGTACCCCGGTAACTGTCGCACAATCATACCCTGCATGTTCGCTCCCAGCAGTGTCGCAAGTGATTGAGCCGCCCAAAATTGGGCCAGTCCAGGACGGGCCGTTGCCTTTAAATCCGTGCCAGTCGGACTGACGAGTGCAAGGGGGCTTCTGACGAACGGGCGGTTCACTGGACGTCATGTGAACTTGAAGCCCAAGGTTTTCGACCTTCTCCCCTCACAGCACGTTACTCACACCTTGTAGTCACCAACAGAGGGGAGACAACTCCCTTCGTATATTTTCGTTCTTCTCCCCTCACAGCACGTTACTCACACCTCGTAGTCACCAACAGAGGGGAGACAACTCACTTGAGGGATTTTCGTCATTCTCCCCTCACAGCCCCGTGCACGTTACTCACGCCCTTTTCTTGTCCATACATCTCCTGGTAGATTCTAACCGCGTCAGTGAAAGGGTACTGTGCGAACGAATCCTTAGGATTAAGGGTTGCCTTCTGCTAGACTTTCAACGAGGGTAAACGTTCAAGGAGCCCAATGTTTTAAGGGTGACTAAAAACCGAAAGTAAGCCCTGACAAGCATTGGAAGAGAACCGCCACGCCCGGTGATTGGCGGCAGGAACTGCCCCGTCGTGACTCGCCCTTGCAGCAAGGACTGCCCCGTCGTAACTCGCCCTTGTGGCAACGACTGCCCCGTCGTGACTCGCCCTTGAACAGTAACCTGTGACGGAAAGGACAAACAGATCTTCCCTATGGCGTTGTTAAACCAGGGCGACCTGACGTCCCCTCGCAAAGCCTTGGGTGTTCCGTTATTTCACGGAATCTGCCCCAAAATGACCCGTTGGCGAACGGAATCACCGAGAAATTATCCATTAGCATACGGATTCCTCATGAAGGTAGTTTTTTTTTGTAATTCTGGAGCGCCTTGGAAAAAATGCCTCGGGTCTTGCGAAAAACTGACGATTCCCGCCAGTCAGCTGTCTAACCAAACAACCATTAATATCGCGCAAATGAACTTCCATCAATCATCGACGGGAAAGTATATCTGTTCTCAGTATAAGGGGCCGCGATAACATGTACGGTCAGTGGCACGATATAAACAATCAGAATTAGCGAGTTCTCAACATGACTCATCAGTCAGATTCCACCGTTAGTCAGAAACCGCGGGAAAAAAGTTCTACGAATGGTCAGTAGAAGTTACCCCCACCCGTCTCGAAACGTTTTTTCGCCGCGCCAGCCCAATTTCGTCATCATTGTGGCTAGCGCAACATTTTTCCTGAGCTACAGGCGCAGTTCCAGCAAAAAAAAAAACGTAAAATGTCCAAATTAATATTCATTGGAAAATTGTAAGTGGAGAAACACGAAAACACGATTTTCTTTCAAAGCACATACTTTTGTCAGAGAGGGTAGTGCATCCCGCGATGACTAAAAATTGTAGCTTTGTCTCTACCGCATTTACGGCCTCCAAAAAAAGTCAAGCCATAAACTTGTTGTCAATCCCGAGTCGCTCGAAAACAATAACATATATAGATAGCTACAAGTGGTTTTTTGGAATTGAATATGTTTAAGAACACGTCAAGGAACTCACAGAACTATCAGAATTGAAATTGAATAATGGTAA